ATATATATATATATATATATATATATATATATATATATATATGTATATATAAAAATCTGTAATTTTTGTATATTTTAGTTTTTATAAACACACAATGGAGCCTCAGTTGGTTAAGTTTTTTCCATTTTAATAAATTTTTTATCTATTTCTATTTGTTAGTTTTAGTTTATATATTCATATTCAGACCTACATCTACACTATTACCATAAATGGTTCTAGTTGGTAAGGTTAGTATAAAATGTGAACTAATCTGCGTCTCTGTATCATTCCTTTGCTCTCCTAGAACTTCCTTCGTTGTCAGAACAAAAAGAACAACTACAACCTGGTATGTGAGACCTTGCAATTCTTGGACTGCATCTGCGGCAGCACCACAGGAGGCCTCGGCCTGCTGGGGCTGTACATCAACAAGGACAACGTTGCCCTCATCAACCAGACACTGGAGAGCCTAACAGAGTACTGCCAAGGCCCCTGTCATGAAAACCAGGTACAAGAGACACATAAGACGATTTATAAACATAGACATAAAGACGATTTATGTATAGTCTTTATTTCTTTCAGAATTGTATAGCAACACATGAGTCCAATGGCATCGACATCATTATTGCACTAATTTTGAATGACATCAACCCGCTTGGAAAAAAACGTATGGATCTAGTGTTAGAGCTAAAGGTGAGGCTAGATCGTTTCTGATAACCTTTTTATTCTGTTCCGTTGGTATTTTAAAAAAAAGTGTTGCTGCTATTTTTGTTTCTGTCTACGTAAGAATGCTTTTAATCATTTGCACCAAGACAAACACGCCTATCTGAACAAGGTTTTCATTGATTTCATCCCAGAACAATGCCTCCAAGTTGCTGCTCGCCATCATGGAGAGCCGACATGACAGTGAGAATGCAGAAAGGATCCTGTACAACATGAAGCCTAAAGAGCTGGTAGGAAACCTGTGGCAATTTGGTGTAACAACCAAAACGTTTAAGTTTTAATGTTTTAGACTGACAAAAACCAGTGCATGATTGTGAAGTGGAAGGAAAATTATACATTGGAGGTCAAAATACAGCAAAAGGTCTAAAACTTTACTGATCATAAAAAGTTTCCTGTTGCATTTATACATGTGCCTTGGCAGGTGGAGGTAATAAAGAAGGCATACCTACAAGGTGAGGTAGAGTTTGTGGACATAAAGGAGGAAGAGGATGCTAGAGATGAAGAGGAACACGATGCTGCTTCTCCCCGAAATGTTGGACACAACATCTACATTCTGGCTCACCAGGTTGGAGTTTTAGATATATATTCTGGCTGCTTGAGACAAATAGTTCTATATTTTTTCAAAATTTTTGCTACTTTTATGAAGAGCTCCCTCTTTCTGGCTACTTTGCAGTTGGCGCGTCATAATAAAGAACTCTCCATGATGTTAAAGCCTGGAGGTGCCAGCGGAGACGGCGACGAGGCGTTGGAGTTTTACGCCAAGCACACTGCTCAGATAGAGGTCATACACTCAGCCAATACGTTGAATGTTTACCACCTTAGACCTTTGCGCCCCACTTAGAAATGACCATTTGAGCCTCTTTGTTTTAGATTGTGCGTCAGGATCGCACCATGGAGGAGATAGTGTTTCCCGTACCCAACATCTGTGAGTTCCTGACCTCAGAGTCCAAGTTGCGAGTCTACTACACCACTGAGAGAGACGAACAGGGGAGCAAAATAAATGACTTCTTCCTGCGAGCGGAGGACCTCTTTAATGAGATGAACTGGCAAAAGAAGCTCAGAGGTGGGATGAATATTATGCAAAAAATTTGTTTAGACAATCTTTAAGTAAATAATGTTTCATGGGTAGAAGTAAAAAATGTGGAAGTAAATAATGAGGAGTTTTGTTCCTATAATGTACAGCAATATAAAAATCTAACTAGTAAAAGTTTTTGCAGCCAATTATTGATCACCGATTTTTGTCAAGAATTCATATTTCCTTTATTTAGACTGCTGAAGATTTTCAGTCTTCCAGGTCATAGTCATTCCATAAAAGTAAAAGAACAATCCATTGGACTTCCCAAGTTTGAAAACGTTTCGCTTCACATCCAGGAAGCTTTTTCAATTCAAAATGTCAGAAATAGCGTTGAGTTCGACGCTTTATAGAGCGGACCAAAAACAAAGCCTTTCTAAGCCAAAATAGGCCTTTTTTTTGTCCACTGTATAAAACCTCACACTCAACGCTATTTCTGACATATTGAGTTGAAAAAGCTTCCTGGATGGGAAGCAAAACGTCTTCAAACTTGGAAACAAAGTCCAGTGGATTGTTTTCTAACTTTTTTTTTAACTTTATTTAGACCTATAACAACTTTATTTTTTAAGTGAATGAGTTGAAATTTGAATTAGTGGAAATGGAAACATAAAAAGCCATTTCCTTGTACAGAAAATACTCAGTATACAAGAAGAAGTTATTTAAATATCTGCCAATATGGTCATAAAAGCAAGTTCACCCAGAGAGCAGAACACAAGATGCTAAAGGCAATATTCAAAAACCCTAAACTGTAATCACAAGACTTGCATCAGGCTCTAGCTAACAATAACGTGAAAGTGCTTTTACAACCATAAAGAGACTGCTTTGGTTTAATTTTTATGGGAAGTCAAATGAAAACACCTTTGCTCTCTATGAAAACATGAAGGCCAGGTAAAGGTTTGCTGTGGACATTGTAGACAAACAACAGAACTTCTGAAATAAAGTTATTTGGACAGATGAGTCTGGATTTAAATTATATGGACATGATAGCAGAGGAAATATGTGGTAATGCAATGCCAGCTATTTATGTACCACAGTCAGTGCAAAGACTATTCAAAGTGCTTTGCCTGAACTAAACAAATACATTAGATATTACAGCAATACATTTGTATTAAATAGTTGCAGCACTGAATGAAAATCATTTTATTCCAACTGTGCAACAAGGTAGAAGTGGCATGAATCCTACCGTCTACCAGAGCTTTCTCAAGGAGTCTTGAAGACCATATATATATTTTTTT